TATCGTCTTATTAGAGCTCTTCACTCTCACACTGCAGGCTCACTTGATGTTTCTGGAGTATTCAAGGCCACGCCCACACTAAGCGTTTTTGGTCAAGGAAAACTGAGCTCCTCTCCAAAGCGGATACATTTGAAAACGGCGTTTTCTTGTTGCAGTGTGGACAGCGTAACCGCAGGCTTTCAGAATCGATCGACACATTTCAGTCATGTGATGCAGACGTGACCAATCAAACTGAGACAGCGGAGGGCGTTACACAGCAGCCCTATTAAAGACTAATATCAGTCTGTACATCAAATTCTTTAATTCTCACTCGGTTTTGCAACTTTGTACTTTTGTGTTACTCGCAGCAACAACTCCACCTCATTGTGAGTCCGTTTAAAAAACTCAGTGGAAAGTAAATAAGTAGAAGACAGAAATGAGGCGTCGAATCTGGAACATAAGCGTTTTCGACCGTTTCAATGTGGACGCACAACTCTGTGAAAACGACTGAAAGCGACAGTGTGGACGCGGTTTTCAGAGGAAAACGCCGTTTTCAAATGTATCCGGATTAGTGTAGACGTAGCCTAACAGTAGAATGGGAGGCGGAGCCTTCAGCTTTCAGGCCCCTCCCAGTTTGGACAGTTGGCCCTGTTCACATTTGTCTTAGCTGATACCATCCTATGAATCCACTGGGTTGTCGCCTATCACAGAAGGTTAATCAATATTTAATCAGCTGGAGGCAGCCTACTGTGCTCAGTGCCTGCAAGCTGCTTTGCAAACCACCTCAGTGTCGTGCAGCGGGATGCTTGTTGTCACGGACGCCTGCTCAGGTCTGGAGGTCTTCCTGCTGCTCTACCTGCCTACAGCTTCTCAGTTATGCCCATGAAGAGCGACGAGGTCTCCTAGAAAAGAATCACTGCAGAAGGAACGACCTTCTTAGAGAGAAACCACACGAGTGGCGAGTGGGAAATTCCCACAGTTCTTTCTCTGTCTTTTGTCTTTCTTTGTAGCTGTGTCAAATGACTTGTTTGCATCTCTTTGCTAACATCTTAAACTCCAAGTCTTCATATTTCCTAAGAAAATCTTTCATTACAGTCTCGGTTTCGTCTGTGGTGCACTAAGATATCGTTACGGCCTCTAATCCTCCTGCACCGCTCGCCTGTTTCATGTAAAGAAAGAAATTATTTCATCGTCCGCTTTGTACGTACACAAGCTCTTCATCTGAGCCCGATGCACAATGTGGATTTTCTGTAATATATATTTCTGTACTGTACAGAGCATAAATGTTTCTGTAAAACATCCTTAAACACTGCTCGTAATCGGCTAAAACAACGATTCCAGTCCTTTAACTTCAGCCTGGGCTAGCTGTGCCCCTGGCAGGCTGACTCACGGCTAACACACAGACACACACACACATACCTCTCTCCTGAGCCATAGGTGAGCGTGTGATTGGCGGGTGACCTCCATCGGGTGCGTTTCCGGAGCTCTGCGGGGCCATGGCCGAACCTGCAGACATGGACGTGACATCTTTACCTGCTATGACGTCATCGTTTTAAGAAAAGCTTTCACATTCAAAGAAAATGTTTAGTGTCATTTAAATTCCACTTTCTGCACAAAAACTGAAGGAAACAGAAACGATTCATATTTGTTTTCTGCAACAATTAAGCCCCGAAGGTCCACTTTTGTCTCAGACGCACAAAGTTCTCACAAAGTTTTCTCCCGCTTGATTGACGAATAAAAAAAAGAAAACAATAAGAGCTGCGTATCACGCTGAAGGTTATTTTTTGACTGCCTTTGTTTCTCAAGCAGCGATTGATCGGGTCAGAGGGTCTGATGCCAAATTTAGCCTCTGCAGACACACAGCGGGCTCAGCACAATTACTACACATGAAGCTGTTGGTGATTCGCTATCAGCTAAATGATAAATGCACTTCCAGGAGACATATCAAGTCATTGGACCCCGTGCCACTTCCTTGTGTAAGCATTAAAGCTGCAGCGATCCCCTATAGAAAACCGGAGCCATTCCAGCAGCATCGATCAGGTGGTTGTGCGGGTCTTTGGGCTGCGCCTGCTCCATTGAAATCCAATAGCGAGTTGAGGGTCTGATTAGGACAATGGCAGACAGAGACTACGGTGGATTGATTTGGCCTAGAGGAAGGAGAGAGATGGCAAATTAACCTTTTATCTTCAAACTCAGGCTGGCGACGATGACGGGGGAGAAAGGCGGGGGAAACTCGCCGCTTCTGTCTTTCTGTGGATACGATGTGCAGCGAGTGACAGGCAGCGAGTGCAATCATGAGGGAAACATATGTTCTGTGATGACTATCGGTGCGTGTTTTCAAGATTACAGAGCGCGGGCTGACCCGTCTCCGTGGGAATATGTGGAGAAACTAAGTGTTTCCTCAGGATGACACATGATGAAGTACAAACAATTCTGTCGCTGCTCCCCAAAACTCACATTGAATATAAATCCCTTATTATAGAGGAAACACTTCCCATTATTCAATCACTCAGTAGAAAAGTGCTCTTTGCACAAGTGTGTGTGTGTGTGTGTGTGTGTGTGTGTTATATGTCTGTCCATAGCTGCGGTAATACATGACTGGAGGTGACACTCTCTCCACATAAACAAACCCAATTAAGTCAACATAATTGCTTTGCATAAAAATACATAAACAACATTTCCATCCACCCCCCGCCCACACACACACACACACACACACACACACAGAAATACTTCCACAAACAAGTGTAAATAAACAGAGTCGAGTGCACAAAGACATGCACGTGAGCGCACAAAGCCACATAGGCTACGCAGTGAAACGCCGGCGCACACGCGCACACAAAGACCCCCCGCCTCACGCATGAATAGATCCGGCGGCGCTGCTTCAAAGGGAGAATATTCGATTAGTTAGTCTGTCACCGTGTTGCAGGAGAGAGGGGGAAAAGTTAGCACGCAAGTGTTGAAGCGACTCGGAGATAACGCTAAAAACACCGGCTGCACGCTTTCATGTGGCGGCAGAAAAAGACGAGAATACAGCGGCGCCGGTGTAGAAACACTCGACGCGTTCACAGCTAAACGTACGCAAAAGAAGTCTTCATGTGCAACATTACAGCAGCGGCGTTTGTAACAGTCTAATAACAGGATGCTGTCATAATCTAAGTGCATCTAACGACGACGTTTCTCTGCACAGCAACTCGACCGCCGTCATCTCGGTGATTCATGCTCTTCTATAAATCACTGCCTGTTGTGTTTATGTAGTGGTTGGAATAAAGAGTGCAGACAGAGCCGACTGCATGTTCTAGTCTCCGTGTGCATCAGTTTATGTAGTGATGTGAAGGGTCGCTGCAGG